CAAAATATAGTAAGTAAACATGATGTTCACTTGCTGAAAACAGCAGGAGGCCACATGATATGTGGTCCTATTCCCTCTCAAAGTGGGAAAGAAGCTGATATTGATTCAGTGGAAAATGTACTAGTTACGAGAATAACCGCTGATCATGTACCACAGCAAAAATTATCATTACTGGAAGAAATGAATGAACCAGTTGATAAGTTGTGGGATTTAGATGCGATAGGTATTGATGTAAATAAACCAAGCCCACAAGAGTCTCAGACTTATAACCAATATTTGGACACTGTCAAATATAAAGATGGACAGTATTGGGTTAGGTTACCATGGAAATTAAATCCACCACATCTGCCTAGCAATTATCGCATGGCTTTTCGGACAGATGAAAGCACAAATACATGAGCTCAGGAAGAATCCAGAGCTACTGACTGTCTATGATAATATCATACAAGAACAGTTGGACAATAAATTCATTGAGGAAATAGTCGAAGATAAGTTGAAGACAAACGCTCATTATCTCCCGCACCATGGAGTCAGAAAATATTCTGAAACCACTCCACTACGTGTTGTATATAATTGCAGCGCACGTGCAAATAAAGATGTAGCAAGTCTTAATGACTGTCTGATGACCGGACCCTCACTAACTGAGAAGCTTGGAGACGTGCTTATGAAATTTCCACAAAACCCATATCCCCTACACGGCTGATATTTCCAAGGCTTTCTTAAGAGTAGGACTACAAGAAATAGATAGAGATTATACTCGATTCTTGTGGCCTGAAAATCCACATGATCCTCAAAGTCCTGTGAAAACTTATTGTTTCAAATCAGTATTATTTGGTGCAACATCCTCTCCATTCTTACTAGAAGCTACTCTAAATACACATTTGAAGAAATCTGAAAGTCCCTTCAAAGAAGTCTTAAAGAAAAGTTTCTATGTGGACAATCTTCAAGGTACTGTGAATATAAAGAGAGGATTTGAAATCCTTATACAGAGAAGCTAACAAGGAGATGAAAGAAGCAAATATGCCTCTAAGGATGTGGAATACAAATTCAAAGCAATTAAGGGAATTTATCAAAGAAGATTTCCCTGAAACTGAAATTCCTGATTGCAACAATATACTGGGACTTAATTGGAACACACAGGAAGATACTCTGAGTCTCAAAAAGATAAACAATAAATCATGCAGTACACTCACTAAACGTAGTTTACTGTCAGAGGTATCACAATGTTTTGATCCTCTAGGACTCGTCTCACCAATTACCATAAAGGGTAAAATGCTTATGCAAGATGCATGGAAACTCAAAATTGGATGGGATGAGAACTTGCCTCTAGAAATGAGTCAAGCATGGGATGAAATATCCAGGGAGTTTAAACAACTTCATCAAATTAAATTTCCCAGACAAATAGGTCAAGAGGGAAACAAGTACACATTACATGTGTTCTGTGATGCGTCAACCAGAGGTTATGGCGCTGTAGCTTACATGAGTAATGCTGAAGGAAGTACACTAATTACTTCAAAGGCCAGGGTAGCACCCTTGAAGGTCAGAACAGTACCACAATTGGAACTGACAGCACTCTATGTAGGTACAAAATTAGCTGTCTATCTCAACAAGTACTTGATCATCTCACTATTGAGAAAACCGTGATCTGGAGTGATAATGAAGCAGTTCTCCAGTGGTTAAGAAATAATAAGAGTAAGTTGGTCTATGTACAGAACAGAGTAGCAGAAAAAAAGAGATGCAGAGATATCTCTTTCATCACGTCTCTACCCAAGAGAATCCAGCTGACATGTTGTCACGTGGTGTCCCACTCAAGAAATTTGAGGATAATAAATTATGGCTCCACGGACAGAACTGGCTCTCTAATGAAAATAACTGGCCTCAGCAAAAAGCTCACATTATGCCAGAAGAAACAGTCTGCTTGAACACAGCAGAAATAAGTTGTGTAAATACTGCAGACACAACAGAAATAGTCATTGATGGATCTAAATACTCATCTTTGGGTAAACTCTTAAGAGTTACAGCTCTTGTCTTTAAATTCATTAAAAGAATAAAACCTGATTATGAATGTCTTGAACCCATTAAATACTGGGTGAAACTAATACAGAAAGACGTTTTCTCTACAGAATATAAATTTCTGGAAACACAAGATAAATCCCCAAAGAAACCTGTCATGATTAATTCTTTAGGACTTTATCTCGACTCAGAAAAGATTATAAGATGTCGAGGAAGAATTCATAATTCTTCACTACCTAAAGAAGCCATACATCCAATATTGATCCCCAAGAATCATTGGCTAACAAAACTGATTGTGCAAAACGCCCACAGTAACGTGTTACATGGTGGGGTAGCTGACACACTTTGTCATATCCGACAATCCTACTGGATACCTCAAGGTCGACAAAGTGTGAAAAAACAAATAAAGGACTGTATTACTTGTCGTCACTACGATATGCGAGTATGTCAGTATCCAGGTCCACCTCCATATCCCTCTGAAAGAGTTTGTCATATCACTCCATTTGAGGTGACAGGTGTAGATTACACTGAACCAATAATTTTAACCAAAACAGTTGACAAAGTTCCCATCAAGGTGTACATCTGTTTGTTCACTTGTGCTACAACTAGAGCAGTACATCTAGAAGTAGCCACTGACATGTCTGCTGAAACTTTTATCAAATTATTCAGAAGGTTTGCAGCCAGAAGGGCATGTACCAGACTGATGATTTCAGATAATGCAACGAACTTTGTTGCTGGTGCTGCTTATATAAGCAAGATCTTTGATCAACCAGAAGTACAACAGATGCTGAATCAACGCAGATGTCGTTGGAGATACATTCCTCCTAAATCTCCATGGCACGGCGGATTTTATGAAAGAATGATCGGCATTGTAAAACGTTGTTTAAGGAAGACTCTTCATCGTCAGAGAATAGACTTAGAAGAATTCCGTACAGTTGTGACTGAAATAGAAAATAGAGTCAACAACAGACCTCTAACTTATGTTACCGATGATCTGGACACTTTAGAAGTGTTATGTCCATCTCATTTACTCCATGGCAGAAGGCTCGAACCTGTTCCTCCCATGAATGATAAAGAAATCATAGAGGATCCTACTTATTTCGAACCTGAGCAACTCAGACGTAAATTCAAACACCTTAATAAAGTGATTGAATGTTGGGAGAAAATTTGGCGAGAAGACTATCTCACCTCATTGAGAGAACACTTCTATGGAGCTGGTATTCCTGAAAATCATAAGTACTTAAGACCTGGTGACATAGTGATTATCGACAATGATGGTCCGAGGTCCCAATGGCCATTTGGAAAAATTGTGACCATATATCCTGATGCAAATGGAATCATCAGGACAGTTGATGTTTTGAGCAAAGGTGTAGTGAATAAGCAGACAATAAATAAACTAGTGCCGTTAGAATTACACAGTGTTGAAAACAAAATTAGTGATTCTCCAGACACCACACAGACTAAAGCTGTTCAGAAAAGACAAGCAGCAGTGGTGGCGAGTGAGAAAATTAAATTAATGTTAAGTGATGAATAGTTCACCTGCAGCGAACCTCCGCCGCCCCCCAGTGTGGAGAAATTTTCTCCAGGAGGGGGGTATCAGCCCCCTTCAGCCCCCTTCAGCCCTCTCAGCCCTGAGGGGCCACTCAGAGGGGGCGAGCATCTTGTTTACTGCTTGAGTGAGTAATTGATCACAGATGCTATCCCACGTAGTCAAATGACCTCTGCTCCTTGCAGCGGTGTTGCAACATGTATTTTTATAAGAGACAGTACATCTCTTACTTAGCAGGACAATTAAGGAAAATCCTGCTCCCACTTTATTACCATAGTAAAACTAGTGTACATTGTTGTCTATGATTAAGACAGCAAGAAACAAACATTCTGCTTTGCTTCATCGAGGAGGTGACAAGGATGCAAGGTACTAGGTCAGCGTTTTTTTTTGTGCTAGGCAGTGACGGCATGGAGCACTGTGGCGTCTGGCAGACTATCTTTGACTCTACTACGAGTGACACTGACGCCAGGATAACCAACAAAGAACACATGATCTGGCGTTAGTGTGGACAAAGTGTCTCACAAACACGATAAACATAAGAGAGGTGTGATCAGCTTCTCTTGTGATACATTGTGAACAATAAAGACAAATCTTGTGGAACATAGTGTACCAGTGTGCGTTTCCTAGACAATGGAAGACGTGGACATCCAAGGACACTTCAGCTTCTATCAAGTCACCGATACCTGTCGAAGGTGTTGAGAACACCATAGCTCACGTTACTAAGAGCAAGGTATGTTACGAATTTCTTGTAGATCGGGGACTGCTCAATTCTTGAGTCACAAGGAGTTTGTAATCAACCTATAATCGGCAGTAAGGTGTGGACTTTTGAGTCCAAACAAGTAAGTATTTCGTCAGCCATCATCGAATGAAATATGCTGACATAACACCCCCTAGGGGTAATTTATACTTACAAATTGTATCTCTTGACAGCCCACTGTTGTGATGGTTTCGACAGCTTCTAGACCTCGTCTGCAGGGGCGGCTGTGTAGACGATTTGCTGTCATTTATCAGCTAAGTGTTCATTATATATAGTTATAATAAACACAGCACGTAAGGCCAAAAATTCTCAATAGGTAGTATTCAAACCCGAAGCCATAATGGCTACAATGAAATATTCGTATAGCATTGATTTGGCTGGGAGTAACAGGGATCTTATAAGTTAAAAGAGTTAGATCTCTCAGTACTAACTAGTACCGAGGAAGAGTGGCTTTCATAAAAACCGTCGACCAAGTCTGAATTAGCGGATTTGACAGTCTGCTACAAGCAAAACAATTTCCTGGTAAAATCGTATGTGGTGCAGTAGACAAGTCATTGGGTTGGCAAGTGCCAAACCACAGGTTCGACTCTTGGCACTACCATTGAATTGTTAAGTTAATGTATCAAGAATTTGCAGCATGCAGTTGTTAGCTACTGAATACACTTCATATTTTCTCACCAGGTACTCCTTCGTGCGACCTCCTGACAGAGTCTGGGGTGTTAAACTCAATAATGGATCATGGTCTGGCATGATGGGCATGGTGGTGAGGGAGGTAAGTTTAGTGAGGCATTTTTTAAAAGCGTATCATGTAATATAAAAACAAATTAATGAATAAACAATATTTAACATCCTCTTGGTTTTCATTGATTAAAATATTCTCAATGTGCCCCAGTTTCAATGGACGTTGCTATTATTCCTACAAGTAAATACCAATTAAGTTCTAAAAGTAAGACATGATTTTTATGAAGGTTGAGTTGAAATGTCTTACCCCATTCACAAAGTTTACTGTTGAGTTAGTTGAGTTAAATCAATATATAATTATATATATATATATATATATAGTATATATATTATATATTTATATATATATTATCTTATATATATATTATATATATTATATATATATGTTTATATATATTTATATATATATATATATATCTATATATATTACTTTATCACACTGGCCGTTCCGATTCCCACACCAAGGCTGGGAGGCCCGAAAAAGAAAAAACTTTCAACCAATCATTCACTCCATCACTGTCTTGCAGCAAAGGGTTGCTTTACCAATACGGTTTTTATCTGCAACATTAACACCCTCCTTCAGCGTGCAGGCACTGTATTCCCATCTCCAGGACTCAAGTCCAGCCTGCCGCGGTTTCCCTGAAACCCCTTCATAAAATGTTACTTTGCTCACACTCTACAGCACGTCAAGTATTAAAAACCATTTGTTCTCCATTATCCTATCAAACACGCTCATGCATGCCTGCTGGGATGTCCCATGCCCCTGCACACAAAAACCTCATTTACCCCATCTCTCCAACCTTTCCTCGGCCGGACCCTGCCCAGCCTTCCTTCCATACAGATGATACACTCTTGGAGTCATTCTGTTTCGCGCCATTCTCTCTACATGTCCGAACAACCCTCAACTACCAAAAACCCTCCTCTAGCCTCTGGACAAACAGTTGTGGTGATCCCGCACCTTCCTCTAACTTCCAAACTTCGAATTCTCTTGCATTATTTTCACACCACTACTTTGCCCTCTGGGACATGACATCTCCACTGCTCCAGGCTTCTCCTCGCTGCTAATTCATCTCCAGGCTTCACACCCATATAAGAGTGTTGTGTAAAAACTATACTCTCATAACATTCCCCTCTTTGAATCCCAAGGACATAGTTCTTTGTCTCCACAGAACTCTTAAGTGCTCCACTCACTCTTTTCACCTCATCAATTCTATGATTCCACCTCATCTTTCATAGTCCCATCCGCCTGACTCGTCACTCCCAAATATCTGATACATTCACCTCCTCCTTACTTCTCTCCATATCTGATATTCAATCTTTCTCACCTAATATTTTTGTTATCCTCTTAATCCTTTATCTTTCCTGTATTCACCTTTAATTTTCTTCTTTTGCCACACCCCTACCAAATTCATCACCAATCTCTCCCAGCAACTTCTCTCAGAATCTCACAAGTGCACAGTGTCATCAGCAAATGAGCTGCTGTGGACAACTCCCACTTTGTGTGTGAGTCTTTACTTTTACTCCAACGCCTCTTGCCTAAGACCCTCGCTTTTACTTCTCATTATATCCCCTATCTTTAAATATATTAAACAACCACCGGTGACATCACACATCCTTGTTTAAGGCCTACCCTTTTACTGGGATAATAATTTTCCACCCCCCCTCTTTCCTACATACTCAACTTGAGCCTCCACTATCCTCGTAAATAAAACTCTTCTGCTTTCAGTACCTACTCCTACACATACACTTGCAATTTTACTGCACATCTGCCCCCCTATCCACGCTGTCATACCGCCCTTCTCCAAATCTATAAAATGCCACAATGACCTCTTTAGCCCTTTCTAATACTGTTCAATTTATTTGTTCTCACTGTTAACACCTGGTCCACACCCCCCTACTTTCCTAAAGCCCTCTTTTCATCTGCTATCTAGTCTCCGTCTTACTCTTAAATTCTTTCAATAATAACTCTACCATAAACTTTACCAGATATACTAAGCAGACTTATCCCCCTATAATTTTTGCACTCTCTTTTATCTCTTTGCCTTTTAAAAAGGAACTATGCATGCTCTCTGCAATCCCTAGGTACCTTCCATCTTCCATTCATTTATTAAATAATTGCACCAACAATCCAAATTATATCCCACTGCTGCTTAAACAGTTCTTTCTTTATACCATCAATCCGGCGGCATTTCCCCCTTTCCATTTTTACCTCACTGCCTCACGAATTCCCCTCACTCACAAACTGGCTGTCCCCTCATTCAAGATTGTTATTCTCCTTGTCATATACACGAAATCTCAGCTTCCCTATCTTCATCAAACATTTAACATTCTTCGAAATATTCCTCTTCTTCCATACCTCTAACTCCCCAATTTTTAATATACTCTCCTCTCCTATTTTTAACTGACAAATCCATTTGTTTACTCTAGCTTTCTTAACTTG